CAATCCACCTGGATACTTCACCACCTCGCGACAAAAGGAACCGAAGCGAGAAAGGACGTGCAGTGACTGAGGTAGCCTCGGAATGAAGAGAGCGAAGTTATGCGGCAGTGCATCGTATTGGAGGAATTGGACTATTGTGCCTGCTTTTGCAGCTCTCTGGGAAAGGTAGTATGCTTCATCTTCTAGGTTTTCTTGGCCGCATGCGAAGAACATGGGTGGCATATTTGCGGCAGACCAGCTGGGCGCGGTAGATACACTGACGAGTGGGTGAAGGAGTGTGGGACCGTCGCAATAAATGTCTTCGCGCGGGGGCGAGGTTGGCCAAAGATCACAGGCGGGGAAGTAAGGTTGCAGATGCGGTAGCAGATCGAGATTAAAGATATCGTACGGCTTGTTCCGCCGATGGGAGTCGCTTGATGCTTGTGTAAGTCAAAAAAGACGAGGGGACGCTAGACTGCTCTACTTACAAGGAATTGGTATGGTCACAGTGCGGACTTAGTGTAGCGATGCCCGCTGGAAGTGGAAGGTCAACCATCTTACCCCCGAATGGCACGCGACCGTTGTTGTGATCGCGGATGTGCTGCACCAATGCTAGCAGGCTGAGCACCAGGTTCCCTCCCGAGCTATCCCCTGCGAAGACAATATTTTGAGGCGAGACGGCAGCATGCATAGAACTTTCGCTCGGATATAAAAGCGTGAGGTACGCCAAAAGAAGATCAATGATTGCAGCCGGGAATGTGTTTTGCGGCGACAGCCGGTACTCTGGTACCAGGCATCTACCGCCCGTCTCTTGAGCCAGTGCAAGAGTAATGCCTCGTACGGATGCCGGACTTCCTGAACTGCACCCGTTGAGTCAGTAAATCATCTCAACACTCGAAAAACTTATACTGACTAGTAAAATCCGCCGTGGGCATACAAGGCGACGATGTCCGTGGTGATGTCCTGCATCATGCCACCGTATTTTTCCTGTTCACTGATGGAAGGCTCCGGCTCCTTCGCCCGACTCGAAGGCTTGAATGATGTCCACTGCACCTTGACGTCGTCGATAGAAAAGTCGCCAACCCGTTCTCTACCTGGTGCGAGATCACCAAGTGCTTCTCGCACGACAGCCTTTAGCTCTGTCGGATCCTTGGGCTTGCTAAACACAGTCCGACTAACCCACATAGGCCCTCTCGCCTGCGTATCCTTTGTGGTCGCAAATTGTTGCATGGAAACCGGAGCGAAGAGCACTGGGGTCATCTTTTCGATTAGACCCTTTGTCATGTCTTGCAGCCGTCGTTCGGCTTCTTTTCGTGTCATGTTGGATTCTAATCCGGATTAACCCTTGCAAATTCGAGCTTTGAAGATGGTGGTCGGCCTCAGCGCTGCTCAAGGAGCCGGAATGGAAAGTAAGACTGAAGCGATTTCGAGGTAGGTAGACAACATGAAACTGATTATTAATCATTTAGCCACGTGTTCGCATCCCTAGGTAAGGCGTGACGTAGCACACGCCGAATTTTGGGCGCCCTACTAATACCGTAGAGACCATACCGTAGAGACTCTCTTAGTCGCCGCGGTGCGTATAGTAAAGGCAAGTCCTGTTAGCAGTAGTGGACATACCTTTACATGTGAAAGACCACCTAGTAGCACGTAAAGGCCTGCATTGGAGAGATATTGTAACCAAAAGAAGGCTGGGGAGGAAAAGCTTCACCGGTATGATGTCATTTGGGCATTGCAATTGATCGGCAGGCGCGAGCGGTTACCTGTGGAAAGGCATCTTCGACCCCGAATGCTGCACAGTCGCGGCGCAGTATTTACCTATGGATTTAAGCCGAGACACACCGTTACATGTCAGCTTACATGTAGAGAGGACGACAGTCTCGTTCCGGATACGGACCCATGATTGATGAACTCAGGTCTGGATGCTGCTACGAAAGAGGGGGAACGGGCGGATATATATACAGGTACCACACGACTACTCCTATTGTGCTTAGTAGCTGATATCGGTGATCGAAGATGACCGCATTGTGCCACCAACGGCCACACGACCGTTTGTGGCTGTCGGTGGAGGTTCACCGGTGACCGAGGAGGCATGCATGCCGCATGCCCGCGCATGAAACATTGTCGATCCTCGTGAGTTCCATAGAAGCGTAGTTCGGGAGAAGATATCATGAAATTAGACGCTGGCAATAGATCGCGGTCCGCATGCGAAGTTAGTCTAGATACCTTCAGGATCTTGTAAGGGAATACAGTACGTCGAAGTCTCCTTGTCTCCTATATTAGCGACCGGTTACGAATATGATAGCACTTTGAAGGACCTAGTTATTAAATTAATCGTGACGGAAGATATTCTGCAGTCATTTAGAACGTGTGAACATAAAGACATGTCGGTTCGGTTTCTCAATTTTGACCTTTTGCCCTACCGTACTGAGCTGGACGAGTTGCGATTGTAACTCAATCATGCATTGTTTTCATGCAAGTAAGCGTGCCCAGTGATCCGGGTCCGGCCGTAAACCGATCTGCAATCATCAAAGTGTGGTGAGCTTTAATATAAAACGGCCGGGTGGTACATTTTCGGAGTCCGAAAACCAGTCGGTTGCGCAATATGCATGGTTGTTGACGGCCCGCGCCACCACGCCTCTGGAGATCGCCTCGCAGAAGCAAGGCTACCTTGTTGTGATCTTCTTTGGAGACGCATTGAAAGTTAGATCTTGTGTAGATACATCACGGTGTTCCACCTAGCGGCAAGCATCTAATGATACAGAATCTGCAGATTATTCGCCAGTTCCGGTCTTCGGGTCAAATCTCAATAAAGACACCCCCAGGCCCATTGTGCATGAAGACTGGAGGCATAGGAAAAACTAGTTTGGACTTACCTACGGGCGCCCAGGACCGAGATATGAAAGTGGCTAAGCCCCGTAGAGATATCAGCGCTCAGGTATCGAACATCAGCCCACCAGTATCTGTTCTGGTGTATCTTCGTTAAATTCTACCTCTCGCGGCTTCGACTTTGATTGTCCGACATAACGCAACCACCATGAAAAGCTCCGGAACGATGCCCCCGGACGAATCTCGCGCTCAGGTCCTCATCACGACGGTGATCGCGTTCTTGGTTATGGATTACACTTTCGTGGCGCTGCGATTCTGGTCTCGACGAATCCAAAGAACGAAACTTCGCAGTGATGATTTGTTCGTGATCGCTGGCTTGCTACTAATCACGGGGACATGCGGCATTTCCATCTGTAAGAATCCTTCCCGCAAGCGAATATTCTGGCTGGTAAGCTGATACGCAAAGGGGCTGTGAAACATGGTGGTGTTGGTCGTCACCTCCAATACGTCTCCAAGCCCGAAAGGGTTCGATGGCTGAAGTCTGTATACATTGCTGCACCGTCTGTATACATTGTCTCTGCTAGCTTCCCTAAACTGGCCGTCGTGAGCATATACCTCCAAATTTTCAACCCCGGTCCCTCGAGGATCTGCTGCTGGATCATCGCTATTGCACTTGCTGTCGGACCTGTCATCCAAGTTCCAATCTGCGTTTGGCAGTGTGTACCGGTGGCCTATCTCTGGGACAAATCGATTCCGGGCGGCCACTGCCTTCAACAGGCTCATATGTTCCGCTACGGAAGTCTCCCAAACATTGTCACTGATGTTGCGATTCTTGTATTGCCGATGCCATTGATATGGAAGTTGCACACTTCCACAAGGGTTAAGATAGGCCTCTTAATCACTTTCCTTCTGGGAAGCATGTAAGTAACTCCCCAGAATGAGTGTACTCTCGGTCGTTAATGCAGATAGTGGCCTGGTGACCTCGATCCTTCGCTTCGTTGCCTTCTTCACCCCGATTGTCGATGGCACTTGGGCTGCAGTACCGCTTCTGTGCTGGGTGATCATAGAACCAAGCATTTATCTGTTGGCTGCTTGTCTGCTGACATTCAAACCTCTTCTCCGATACGTGGCCCAAGAGAGCAGCCTGTCCCGACGTATTCGATCCTGGTCCAGCGCTAGATCGGGCCGTCACAGGGATTCACTGTATGGTCAAGGGCCAGGCGGCGGCGGAACCAGGCTCCCTAGTGATGATGGAAAGTCGGACAATAAGATTCTGCGAGAGCGCGAGTTCTGTGTCGAGCGCACTGTCGATAGCAGTGAAGCTTTCGGCATGTCCTCGGTATTTTCTAGTCGGTCGTGATGATATGGGCATGCATGGAGTAAACTAAGAGAGGCATCGTACGGGAAATTTCGCGAGAAATTCTGCGGATAGCAGCCTTGGGCTCAAGTATTGCGTTGCGAGATGGGACTGTTTGATTTTGAGGGCGAAAAGGAGTACAGGTAGCTAGCGCTTTTGTTCACCTCGGCTCGTTACTAGATTTGGCATAGCGCAGTATAGTACTACTGTGTAATCGATATTTGCACGTCTTAACCTGTTAGTTAGGTACTAAAGTGCAGTACCGCTGTCCACATATAGTAAACAAGCCAAGAAGAGCACCTACCTAGGCAGGGTGAACCGGCCAAGCAAACGAACAAATTGCGAGATGCTTTGGGCTTATTTACCTGTCAAAGCGCCTTGCAATCCAGAGACATTCTTCTTAAAGGCTACAGAGCATTAACCGTAACAAAGAGGCTTTGTGCCAAACAATGCAGCCGCTAGTTTGACGCGTCAATGAGTTGTTGCCCAGCGCAGATCTGCCGCCTAGCGTACCCACGATTGTCACAATCTGTGGTGGATCTATAGAAATCCGAAGTCTCCATAATCGACCACCACATCAGTCTTGCCACGCGTTCAAAACTCACGAAACGAGATGCCAACACAAATTCAAAAAAACAGAAAACAGAGCGCCATATGCCCATGCATAAAAAATCGCACTTTAAATGCACAAACACAAACTATTGCAGACCATCCACCCCACATACCACCGCCCCAGCCCCTCCCCCTAAGCCACCCCTGCCGTCCTTCCCTCCCCCCCGCCTCCCCTCCCAACACCAAAAAAAAGACCCATCCATAACCCAGTAAAATAAAAATATGCCGCCTCGCGGAATCGAACCGCGGATCTTCGCATACCCTGAGGAGGAAATCTTACGAGTGCGACGCTGTACCACTAAGCCAAGGCGGCAATCGCATTGAGTTAATCACTGATATGGAACTTGCAAAAAATAGCATTTATACTCTTATGCAACGTAAAAAGGATGACGCGTGCGGGAAGGATGATGAAAAAAGTGACACCTGAGCTGCAGGGTGGGGTTGAAATTGAGGGGTGTGGAGCTGCGGGGCCACCTAGGTACCTACCGTTGTCTAAATTAAGTAATAATTGGATCAGACCAAAAAATTTGCAGGCAGGACAGATCACGAAAGTATTGCGATAACTGAAGTGATGAACCGAATGCATATTTATAAACAATGTCAATGCCATGCCATTATATCTACCCATAATCCCAACACACACATAAAAGCAATCCAAGCTCCTAGGCAGCAGCCACCTTGTGCGGCCTCCCACCAATCAGTGCTAACACATTGCTGAAGAGGCCCTGAGGCGGTGGAGGTACAGATCCGTCATTGAGCACATTTTGTAGATCTTGCATGTTGAAGACATGCTCGTCGTGCCCAATGTCCTGAGTAAGGTCTTCGGAGAGCAACAAGTTTGCCAACGGTCTGCCAGCAGCCTCATCTGCGTCCTCGTCCTCGTCTACTTCGTAGCTAACGCGCTGCAACTCCTCGTTCTCCTCTGGCGGTGGCGTTGGGAGTTGAAGGCGTCCAGCACTTGGACTCAAAGTCTTTATGCATGAAAATGAGTCCAGGATAACGTAACCCCTCTCGCTCTTCCGCGACGCAAGAGCCAATGTGATACCCGGGAAGGACCCGCTCCATAGCGGTTTTTTTCGATCAGTATTGTAGATGGACACTCTGGATGACGCCTTTTTGATCCTGGAAGCGGGGGAGTCTCTCTTCTCAAACTGAGGTAACGAGACGGCGAATGTGCCACCGCTTTCGTTGGTAGCGAGTCGAACTAGTGGTATGCGATCTAAGCGCCCGATACCTGCAGTATTAATCGGGATGCTGTATGCAAGCTGGTCAGATACCATATCCCAGACAGTGATGGCATCGGCAACCACGACCAGGTACTGTCCAATGAAACCGAGTCCGGACAGTGCTGTTACATCGATCTCGGTCAGCGATCGTCGAATGGTGGCCGTTTGGGTGTCGATAAGATGCGTAACTCCAGCATCTTCAGAATCCCAAGAAACCGAGGCAGCGAGAACCGAAGCATCTGCAGAATAGGCTAGACGCGATGTTCGCGGGGGCAAGAGTTGCTGTGATCCTTCCGTAACGTCGAGCTTATCGCTGATCTCGACTGAACAATCAAGTGACCAAGTGACCAGTCCTTCTTTCTCAGCTCCGCGCACAACGACACCATCGCGCAATCGCGTCTTGGGTCTCCATGCCCTAACAACGTGGTCTTCGCCAACAGTCGCAAAACCGGCGGCAGTAGGATCTGCGACGAGATCAAAGACCCGGCCATTGCTACATACGTCCTCAAAGAAGTGCGGTGCATCGATTCGAGCTTCGAGCTTCCACTGCGAATTGTCTCTGTCGCGTCGCCAGATCTTGAGGTGTACTTCGCGGCGGTGCAGACGTTCTTGTTCGTTGAACTCAGGAATACCTTCATTGAGATAACCACTGTCCGCGCGTGGCGGAACCCATTCATCTACTGTCGCAAGCCACTCGCCATCGTGACTGGTCTGGACATGTGTGACGTTAGGTTCTTTGATTCGACCCCCATCCGGGGCCACATTGGGCTCCGTCGCATTGTTGCGTGTCAGCGCCTGGCGGCCTCTGGCACGCTGGTTTGCAAGATCGAATGTCTGTAAATATGATTCCGATCGACGACCCTCGTTTTTCTGGCGCGGTTGTGACGAAGGCACTGAGAAGAAGACCTCACTTGAGTTCGTTGGGTTTACCGCCAGGGGCACCGAGTCGAAGATATAGAGGTGAGCATTGCTCGACTTTGACTCTTTGGGCATCTGCTCCAGATCAATCCGTCGCGACTGAATGCCGATAACATTCGTTTTAGCCTCCAACTCAGTCGTAGAAAGAACGATGACGGAGTTGTTGGCCAGAGTCAAGGCGTAGGCTGAGCCTGTGGGAGACACTACGATCTTTTCGATAGCGGCGGCGAGATGGGGTAGGTGTTGTGGCTGTCCAGTAGCAAGCTGCCAGATCGTAAGGACAGTTTCGTCGCCACCAGAAATGAGGTAGTTGCCTTTAACATATTAGTATTTACGAAAGCAGAGGCAAGTGAATATGTACCATCCAACGACCACTTGACGGACCCCACCGCGTCTCTATGCCAATGAAGCCGCTTGGGTCTGAAGCCCTCCGCGATGTCCGTTTTGTCTTTCTTCCCTTTTTGACTGCTTTCGATTGCAGCGAACGAGGCCAATATATCCTCAAAGAGGAGAACAACACCAGCTTCATCTCCAACAGCAAGATCAATGACGTCTCTTTGATCCCGGGCGACCTGCTTTCCCTTGTCGGATCCCTGAGGCTGACGAGAAAAGGCGTCGAAGGTGGTGATGCGCTTTGAGAATTTGAACTCGCGCCAAACGTATTCGAAATCCTGCAGGGCCGTTTTGCTGACCTTGACGCGCTTACCGACCGTCATAGAATCGTCGCTTGCAAGAACGACATACCTCCCTTGTAGAAGCACCTGGACATCGTGGATCGCAGAGCTCGTCTCTAGCAACTGCTTGAGTTCTGTCCGGGAGCCTCGAGACTTGGTGTAAAATGCGCGTACGCTGATGCTATGGCCATCCCCAGCTTCGTGGCAGTACACGAAGTCTTCGTCTGACTCAGGTCGTGTGATGACTGCCATGTGTTGGATTGTCGCGCCAGCGTCCCATTGCCCAATCTTCTTGCCGCTCACCCAGTCCCACAGTGTTACCATCCCAGTGGAGTCGGCGACGTAGACTTGGTTAGGCTTGGTAGAAGACAGAGCAAAGGCTGTAAGTACTCCTGTATCGCCAATGGGAAGGACGTTCGCAAGCAGTGATGTCTCGGCGGCGTAGATTCGTAGCGACTTCAGGTTTGCGAGGATCAGGTATTTCTCATCGGGAGAGAAAACGGGGTCTGTGGACAAAAACCATCCTCCTTGAGATGAAGAGGTGAGCCATTCCTCTGACCTTTTGGCCTTCTTCTTTCTTGCAGAGTCTGCCACTTCCGTCATAGTGAGTTCTTTGCGCGCTGCCCTGTTCTTCTCTTTTCGCTCCTTCTTCTTTTTCTTGTTGAGCTCCTTCTTTGACAAATGCGATGTGTCTTCTTGCTTCTGCCTAAGCTCCACGCTTTCTGCCGCGGGTAGGAGATCTGGTGTACTAGGGGGTTTGCGATCATGATGGCCCGCTCCATCGGTTTCCCCGTTAACCTCTAGGCTTGGTGTCTGAGTCTCCACTATGCCAGGCTCCGATTCAACATGGTTCGCGGCTCCATTCTGCTGTTCCCGGAGCTTCTTAGTCTTCTGCGAGGTCGCGGGGGTATCATTCGTCGCATCTTGGCTCACACCATTCGTCATCGGAGTTGATTTCGAGTGCTTCTTCGGCTTCGGCGTAGTCTTCGATTTATGCGTTGTAGTAGCGGAGGGTGTGCTGGTATCGACGCCATTGCGACCATCATCGCTGCGTGCTGCCGCCTCGCTCCTCCTCTGCTTCTTAGCCTTCCTCTGCGCCGCCACATCCTCGCTCTTGCGCTTCAGTTGGGGAGCCGCGTCCGACATGCTGACTACTGCTGAAAGTCAGCTCGGGGTAAAATCCAGCGAATGGGGAGTGAATGTCGTTTCAAGTGAACTGTCCGCAAGCTCGACATTGTTCGAAATCTTTTTTTTATGGAACTTGGCCCGAGCTTTTCACCGCCCGCGTCGTTAGCGCGTCCCGCAACTTTAACTTTCTTTGAGATCGCGAACATCAATGCAGGCACCATAACTTTTCCGCACTCGCATAGCTGCTGTATTGCGATCGCAAACACTAGAAGCACCGAAAAGCTATCTGAGGTTTTCGCAAGAATGATCGTCCCTATTCGTTGCTTCTCTTGCGGCAAGGTAACTGACCACTACACCAAGTTCATGCGCCCAGGTACTAACCAGCTCGCAGGTCACCGGTGACCTCTGGGAGAAATACATGGCCCTCCTCAGCGACGGCATGGAAGAAGCGTAAGCCCCTACCTCCCTCCTTCTCCTCCGCGTACCACATCTTCCTCCAAGCTACGCAGTTCCCCCATTCAACCCCGAGGCCCCCCCAAGTCCACACACCCACTAACACATCTCCCCTCCCAGAGACGCCCTCGACGCCGTCGGCCTGCAACGCTACTGCTGCCGACGCATGATCCTCACGCACGTGGACCTGATCGAGAAACTACTCAAGTACGTGCCCACGGGCGACCGAGCCCAAGTGCAGCGCCAGACGCGCCGCCGCGCCGCAGAGATGGAACAAAGCAGACTGTGATTTTTCTACGTCCCGGACAGGGGCTAACAACTTTTGCACTGCAGGTACAACGCTAGCGAACGGGAACAGGCGCGCGCTGCCCGGGGTGGACGGTAGTCGTCAGCCGAGCTATGGGAATACGGTTGGGAGTGTAATTTGTGAGGGAGAGTTTGGGTTGGGAGGCGCGTTTACATTGCGAGGCGTTATTAGGTGGGATGTGTTGGGATGAGCTAGGGGTTCTCTTTTTTTTTTTGGGAGCGTAGCTTGCTATTGCTGGGAGGTTTTGGACGCTTGAACTCCCGTTTAGTTCGTCTTTGGGGCATGGAGAGTTTGACAGAAATGACATCTTTAGAACTTGTCTCCGTTTCGATTTTTACCCAGTACAAGTCCTCTTCTGCGCTATACTTCCCACGATGAACGGGGTCTACAATGCCAGGGCGCACAGCGAAAATACATGTGCAACGTGTATAGCAGCATAATACATACATACGCTACGAACAAGATAGCTTCAAACAACCCTCGCGCATCCCAGCTCATCACGAAAGACATTCCTCCTCCCCATGCCCACTCCCCCAATGCTCGCTCACCCAGTCTGTCATAATATCCGAAAAACTCTTCCCATTATCGAACGCCTGCGTATCCTCTA